ACTTTTCTATTTGTCATTTTTAAATCTGACTAATGTTCAATTTCTTACGGTCAATTTAAGCAAGGTGTTTTTTAAAACTATGGGAAAAATCAAACTAAAATTAGTTCATAAAAAGATTCAATACTAATTTTGTCCAATATTAACTATTAGGAATTGAAATTGATGGTGGTATTCATCAAAAGGTGAGCTCTATGTAATACTCTACATGAAGTGTGCAATAAGGTAATTCGCCACAATACAGAAACAATAGGCCATCTCTTTCTCACCCAATGTCCAAATGTGTTAAAATAATGAAAGTTGGTAACTCGATTATATTCTGTGATCAGTCAGCATTTTTCACATAGTCAAATCAATCTGGTTAAAAAATGTATAAAAAAAACTTGACAACTAGCATTTATCAACATCTTGTGAGTAAACAATATTTTTTACATCTAGGTTCAAAGTTCACAATGTTTGACAGTTCAGCCCACAACATACTCCTACATGTTTTAAACATTTCTGGACAACCAACTTTTATCAAGTAAAAAAAATCAAGAGAGGATGTCTTTAAATTGAAAAAACTTGGAGCTTCAGAATTCCTGAAGCAGTACAATTACCCTATCTGTTTTTGTGTTGAAAAATTGGATTTTTAGGCTAAAGATAGGGGCTACCGTTTGTTTAAATTAAGTATAATATTATATATTTCCATATTATATTTCTTATGAACAATATACAACTATAATATAAAACTAAAAAAAATGCTTGTAGAAAAATCTTTAAAAATTTTTTAATTTACTAAAATAATTTGTTGTTTTTATCGAATTTATAAAAATTTACCAATTATTTTAAGTGAGATCCAAACTCGAAACAATAAAATCTAACTAGCTTAGGATTTGCCATCCACTGTTGGAAGGAAGAGAATCAAACTATTGTATTTAATATAATATAAAGTGACAGGTGACGATTATAATTGTTCACACTGTATAATGAGACCTAACTACAAAGAACTTTGTCTCAGAGTTCAAACCAATTCGAACCCACTCTACTTTCCACCTTTTGACCAAATCAATGGGGAACTGATGTGAAAGAAAAGTTGGAGGATAAGATTTGAAATGAAACAATATGCTTGTTATCCCCAACTATATGCCTCATTAGATTTTATGAGCTCTCCGAAATGACACTGCATAGGAAATTAGAAAATAAGTATCTCATCTTCCATATTTATTTTGACTTCTGTATAGAAAAGATCAATTCTCATTTGACCAACATTTCTTTCTGCACCATAAATTTTAACGGTCACAATTCAGAATTGAACACAAACAGAAGTGTCAATAATAAAAAAGAAATTTGAAAGGAGAACATTTTAAAAAACCACATGTTACCAGTGACAAAATATCTCATAAAAGGAAATTAACTAACATACAAAACTGAAACTGAAATCCTCAAACTTATTTATGGCAAAGAATAATTTATGTTTCTTGAAATGTTAAAACTTAAAAAATTGTTTTAAAGAAACTACCAGATGGCCCAGTCTGTTATTTTAATAATTAACAAGTGTTTTACAACACTGAAGAGAAAAATGATGATTAAACATTAAACATTTCTTGAGGCAAAAAAATTCTTAAATAAAAATATAGTTAAAAATTCAATAAATATTCTTTTAACACAAATATTTTTGTAGTGAACTGAAAAATCAATCTTAACTTAATCAATCCAACTTTGGCTGGAATTATTCCTTTGAGAAAACCAGCATCCACAAAGATTCCAAATTTTAATCTTAAACAACTGCTTCACATCCAAACATTTTCTTTCATTTTTTCTCCATAGAATAAGCTTAATTTCATATCAATGGATAATATTTTACTTTCATAAAAAGGAAAATTCAAATGCAGGATTTGGTAAGTGGTGCTCTTTTTTGGGCTCAACACTTTTATTTGAGATCTGAACTTCTAATTTTCATCATTAATAGTTACCATGATTTCAGAATTCACCACCATGACAATCGAAACTCAGATAATTTATTCTTGGGGATGAATTTTTCATAAACTTGCCTGTGATGATTAAATTAAATGTCCTCAATAACATTATGGACACAGATGTTCACCATTTGTAATTTGACACTAGGATATTTGAAATGTTCATGGAATGTTTATTTGAAGTGTAGTGAAATATGAGTTAAGCTGTGAGTGAAAGGTTAATGTAAGAATAAATTGTGTGGGTAGGGGTGTGAGCAAGAGCACCAGGGTGTAAGGTAACATCTGCTGTTTTCATTCAATAACTTAATGATTTTATTATCAATATTTAAATCAATGGGTGAAATTCTATCTTGAACCAAAATACCCTTTATCTCTGCCTTAAAGGAAAATTTATACCATCTCTTAGGGTCTTACATTGACCCTTGGGGCAATGATGTAATTATGCCACTGTACATATCTTACATCGTCTTTAACACAACAATTCCATTTGTAATGCAAATGATTTCAAGTTAAAAGGATAATTTAAGCAGAATGTGACATAGAATTGAAATTGGAGTTTACAATAATAAATTATAATCAACATGCAATGAAAATCTTGATATCAGTGCCCAAAGCCTCACTTGTAGTCTCCATTATCTCAGTGGTTTATCTTTAAAATATCATACTGGCTTTTTGTTTACAAACCTATATTTCACAGCTATTCCTTGATATTAACCTACTTATTAATAACTGGTTGATTTACATAACTTTAGATAAATTAATAATAGTTTTTCATCTAATTCTTATTTCAAGAAAAACTAAAATTGTTTTTCAGGGCACTATCTCTTATATAATTGAACTTGGCCAGTGCTTTTATAGGAGCTGTGATAGGCTACTGTATACTTTACACCTAATAAAGGTCTTATAACAAGGTCAAGTGTCAACAATAATATTAATCTAATTAATGACCACACACTTCTGTTTAATAAATCAATACACAAACAATGGGAGAAGGACATTTCCTTATCAATAGCATATTACCCGTCTTGATTCTATTTTTCAACCTTCCAACTACTACGACTACCAACAACTACCTAGTTTGCGATATCAGCATCCGCTGGAAGCGAACGTTAACTCGTCTTCTACCTACCTACCTATTTTTCAACCAAAGCATAATAACCTATTGGGATCTGTTATATATATAGTTGCTTAACAAGCTTATAGAGTTGAATTAAGGGATCTGTAGTGATTCCAAAAAAGACACCATGCCTGGATGTTCCAGACAATCACCTGGAAGTTCTTTATAAATGATGTACTTACTAGCAGTTATGATCAATTATGTAATATCAGTAATATGTGTATATAAAAAACACTTGGAATTTACAACACTCTTAAATTCCAATTTATCCTTTTGTTGAATTTCAAGATAACCAGACGACAAATATGAATTTTGAAAAATGATACAGAGTACAGGTGTTTGAATCCCTCCAAATGTAAATTTTGAAAAATGAAACCGAGATGGAGCTCTATCAGCAGGGGAAGTAAATATAAATTCAATACATCTTGATAAATCCCAATCCCTTCAAAAAATCCCAAATGATTGACTTACCCCTGATAGTCGAGACATTAGGAACACTGAGCAGAGGACTAATCAGAAGAAACACAGCATATAAAAACGATAATCCATTAAAGCGGACGACAGCAGCTGAAAATCAGAATAATCAGTTATTATTTTTTCAATCAATGTAGACTTACCAGCACAGTAAGACAAAGAAGGTAATGTATAATAAAATACGTTATCTAGTACTTTAATTTCAGTCATAAAAAAATGATGGCAGGTGTGTTCTGCATTGGGATGAACTTGTTTCCAGTTTCATTGCCTCTGCATGATGAACAGATGTCATGTTTTTTTCAAGAAAGATAATGATAGTAATGCAAAGTAAATGATAACAATTTTTTCAATGCTCTCCGAAGAAAAAATGTTATAAAAGTTAGGCCTACCTGTTAAAAGTGTTATAGGTAACAAAATCCTAAATAAAAGATAGCATACTAGTCTTGTGACCTTCGTAGACATTTTTAACAGTTGTCAACACAAACAACAATAAATAAATATGTTGAATAATTAATCCTTTTCACATCAAATTAGATAAATATCCATCTTCCTTTTTGACAACACAAATAATTCACACCCCTTTTTGCACTAGGCCTGATTCTATTTCTGTTCCTGAAAATATATTGATACACATGCAATTCACCAAGATTCTAATATAAATTTGAAAATGTGTGAAATTCTTGGTACTTTATCAGCAGCAAGTAGGCCCTATAGGCAATTCGGCCTTCTGTAGGCTACTGCGAAAATAACTAGATCTAATTAAATCAAAATAGGCTAGATCTAATAGAGAAACAAAAATTTACTTTTGTGATCTTGATTTAAATAGCCATAGCTCAGCCTAGTTTAATAGTATACACTGAAAGTAATTCAAAGCTTCATAGACAGACTCTGCATATATCTAACACTAACAAAGTGGCTCACATGACACTTGCCGACTGAGTCAGTGAGTGAGTGAGAGATCGAGAATCGCAGCTGTTGTTGCTCAAATTACTTGTAGTTGTTGACACTCTGCAATTTTTTACGATCGTACCAAATTCTTATTGTCACGTAAATTTAATTTCAGATATAGAAAGAAACCTTACAGTGGTTGCCGATAAATCCTTTTATTTCCAAAATATCTGTTACATCCAGTGGCAGTGATCACCGGCTCCATACACAACAACACAAGTTCTGTGAAATTTCCTTTCTTCTCACAGCGTCATTCGCTAATCGTATGAAGCGCCGTCTAGGTTGAGGTATTCCCCCAAAACTGAAACCGGTTTCAGATGAATTTCTTGGCAGCAGCCAATAAATATTCAATATTTCCAATCCAATTCAAGAGGTTTACACTTTATTTGTTCCGGTTCAAAATATCACATTAACATCCTTTACCTTAAACAAGGCTTGCGACTTTTGGCTTTAAAACCCGTGCTTATTGCAGTTTGTATAGAATTTAGAATTGAATGTAAACAGGGCAGAAATAATAAAGGTATGATATTTTTACACGAGTGATCTTTCTTTATGAAAATTATTAGACTAGGCCTAGTAACAGGGCGTTAACTTATTTGGTTACATTCATAAGTTGACCCCTGCAGATGACACTGAATTTCATAGTCATTAATCATGAATCCAAACTTTGCAGCTTACAAAGAAAAAGAAATTGGCAATATATTTAAAAAATATTGGTCTAATAGATCATCAATCTCCTTCCATTTGTTGTATGCATATGAATAATTCATTATCTATTCTATGTGACACATGGCACCATAATGGCATGATATTAATGGTATTGGAAGGCAGGCTTTAATTATGGTTTATCATGTAGTATAATTGTCATATTAAGTTCACTTTTATCTCTGGAATAATGTAGCATGCATAACTTGTGCAACTAACTCTGGTTTTTAAGTGTATCATGCCTGGACAATAGATGTGCATGATAGGCCCTATAAGGTTTTAAAATGAGCTTGTAAAATGTGTAATTTGTAAAATATTAGGTGACTAATAAATATTGTTTTGTATTACAGAGAATGGCTCGACAAGTTAGTACTGCAGTTTCGGACCTGGTTCTAGCTTTAACAGTATTTTATGTGGTTTATTATACAATATGGTTTAATTTTTTTGCTGCCGTTGGACTACTACTACAGGGAGCAGCAGCTTCAGTTGGAGTCTACAGATTCTCACAGACTTTTCCTCTGTCTAAAGTCGTCAAGGCGCATAAATTTATGTCATGGATAGCGACAGTTGCAGGAATGTCATTAATTGCTAGTGGGTTTTGTCGGGATTCATTACCCTTCTTAATGAATTTGAACTTCATGTTTTTTGTGGTAGTTTTGATAGTTGGACAGTTTCTAGAACATTCACAGTCTGTATTAGCAACTCAAGCCTGTAGTGGGCTGGCAATGCTTACTGTAATTCTTGCCTCTCTACAATCCTGGAATGTATATGGAGTTGTAGCAGCATGCATTTATATTTTTGCTGGAACACAAATTGGAGTTGATGGATTTTATGCTGGGATTCCAAGAGTTGATCTCTTACATTATGCACTGGTTGTTGGTAACATTTTCTTCCTGTGGGCTTTAAGAATTGTGTAAGTTCAGTAGATAATCAGTTACTTTTGAATGGTATTTAACTGTAGCAATTATTGGAATGCTTTAATTCAGTTCTGTGACAAGAATTTGTTCAATTAGGTTTTATGAAACTTTTAAAGGTTACAACGAAATGGCTGATGCTGAAATCCTTTCAGAGAGGATTTTAAGATGGATTGCTATGGGACTGCCTTTGTATTACACTCTTTGAAATTTTATGACTATTACCTTGCCTTTGATAGATCCACAATGCCAGTTATTTGTTTCACTTTTGTATGGAGAAGTATAATTTCAATGTCATATCTGACAGAACATTTAAATTCGTTAAATTTTTTTAGTTGTGGCTTATTTTCCTGACCCAAGCTAGGCATCAGTAAAAGAATGGGTACCAGAGGCTAGATATGAGACAAATACCAGGAATATTTCTTAATTTCAAAACAGTGTGTAGGCCAATCTAAGCTTATATTTTTTAATGGTTCATAATTGCTTTGTACTTTTATATTTATTGTATGTGCCATAATTTTCTACGGGTTTTAGTATATATGCTTGTATTTTGTGTACAATGTAAAATGCATGAAAAAAAGCTAGGTTGACAGAAGGGCATAAAAAATTGATGTAACCTATAATCAAATTACCTATAATGATTGCAATATTTTCAAATGAGAACCTTAATAGCAATTTTTCCAAATGTGAACCAAAATCAAAAGTGTTTCTTGATGAAATGAATATTAACACATATAACCTATGATAAACTTTATTATAGCATAAATATATGTCTATTTGCTAGTTGATCCAAATGTTGATCTATATAGATTTTTTTTATATAATTTTATATTATTTACAGTTTATATACTCAAGTATGTTAGTTGTTTTTTAGTTTTTGCATTTAATTACTTATGAATTTGTGCATATTATATCATGTTAATGTCATCCATCATTATACAGAGATAGCATTTCATATATTTAGAACTTGAAAGTTCCATATTAATTGTGAATTCCAAAGATATTATTTGCGACTCTTTCTTTGCAATTGAATAAAACCATATTGTTAAAGGAAATAGTTTACTATTTGTGTCCAAAGGGAGATAATTCATAGCAGTTTTAAAGACTTACTCCACCATAGAACTGTATACTGGCACTAAAACAGTTTTTATGCAAATGGTTGTATACAAATGTAGTCTAGGCTATTTTTAGAAATCTTCTTGCTCTCTCCCTTTTGCTTAGTTTCTGGACAAAAATTCAATATATGATGACCATGAAAATCTTCAACTAGCCAATCTGAAAGTAGACCACTACATTTTATCAACATCCGCTTAAAAATGCAATTTTAGACATCAAATCCCAAGTCTAGACAAAAAAATAGGCATGCAAAATCCCCAAAAGGGAATTTTTAAAAATAGGACGGACTACATTCTAAAATTGCACTTACTACATTCTTAATAAGAATTTTTAAAAAAGCTTCAACTGGGATTCGAACCCGGGACCTCATAGTTGCCAGGCAAGTGCGCAAACTGCCAGGCCACCGAGTCCTGGGGTTAGCGAGGTTAATCCTAGGGTTAAGCTGGGGTTAACCCTAGTTTTGAAAAACCGATTAGGGTTAGCTCAGGAAAGGGTCAAGGCTTGTTTCAAGATATGGTTTCCGCATATGAAATGAAAGAGCACTTCGTTGCGCATCCTCTCAACACAAAATGGTCCGGAAAAAAGAATAACACAGGGGTTTAAATGGGCCCGAAACAATTTATACCCCAGTGGTGCCAAAGGGGTTAATGTGGACGATTTGGTTCGGCCTATGGTTAGGCCATTCTGGATGTCAGGGACCCCTTTTGTATACTTAAAATGATAGAAGAGACGGTTTGACTTCGCAAAAAAATAATTTTTGAAAAAGCTTCAACTGGGGCTCGAACACGGGACCTCAAAGTTGCCAGGCAAGTGCGCAAACCGCCAAGCCACCGAGACCTGGGGTTAAGCTGGGGTTAACCCTAGGGTTAAGCTGGGGTTAACCCTAGTTTTTGAAAAATCAATTAGGGTTAGCTCTGGAAAGGGTTAAAGCTTGTTCCAAGATATGGTTTCCGCATATGAAATGAAAGAGGACTTCGTTGCGCATCTTCTCAACACGAATTGGTGGGAAAAAGAATAAAACAGGGGCTTAAACACTTTTTTTGAGTGACTTCAAAGTGTTACAAAAGGCCAAGTCAATTAGGTATTAGGTGGGTGAATGCCAAAAGTCTCAGAAGTACTCTCAATTATGGTTAGCTAGCTTTACGCTTCTCCATTCATCACATACCCCTTTAATATATTTAATATTTTGATTTTTATTTTAGAGTTGAAATACACTTATCAATTATATTGAAATTATTATTTTGTTATTCTTTTGTTCCGATGTTTGACATCATAAATGTTTACAATTGGATAAAGCGGTTACGATTTCCAATTTAGTAAGATTGGTCTTATTGAATTGTCAATATACAATTTATCTCCCTTGCAATGCATTTTCACGATGGTGTCGCTTTTCGTATCACATAAAATAATGCTATACTTTTAGATCGAACATACAGTAGATATATGTGATTATGCTAGGTACAAATGGACATTTTCTTATACTAGTTAAAAATGTTTCAGGCGTGTGTCTGGAAACTTAGGGTTTATTTGCCTTTTGATTCGATTTGTTTTTCACATATATTATTTTAATGTATCTCATTTATAAACTATTTGTAGCATTCACTTGCTGATCGCAAAATTTGAATGTAGTTGTGCCGAAGGTCAAGGCGAAGCATCAAATCGTTAAGATTTGACAAATACAGATGCCACCTGCTTCCGAACAATAGGTGGTGCCTCAGTCCTTACCAAATGTTCCGCATTGTACATTGCATGTCATTGACCAAAGACATAAATATGTATTTCCTTACATTTTATTTCGAAGAGTTTACTTTTATTTGTCAGTAAGATAAATTTTCAAGATGTGTCAAATATCAATCTCCGATCAAATTGATAGCTTGACTTGAGAAGACACCATTATTCCGCTTTCTTCTGCTAAATTGAACGAAATCGTTTCTATCCATGAATTCTGACAGACTTGGCGCCAAACAGTCTGGTGCTATCTTAATTACTAGCGAATATTATTGACCACACATAGTATTTAGAGAGAAACAAAAACAGAAAGTGATTTCCTGAGATGGTTTCTACATCTTCTGCTTCAATTGTTTTATACATCAAGAAGTAACAAAATTACCTGATCAGTATTATATCAAGAGGTGGAACAAATAACAGGGATACATAAAAATAAAACAAATAGGGATCAGAGACAATCAGAGATGACGCAAACGCGTTCCAATATAATACAACCGATGACAGATATTTTTTGTGGATTTATTCACCTATTCTACAAATAAGTATTCCTTAACGTTCTTTTAAGATAAAAATGAACTTCACCATCTTACCATCGTCAACGAACATGTCTGCCATGCATATCTGAGCGGTTGATTCGGTTTAGGGTCCAAACGTCCATTCGGAACGAAAAACGTAATATATAGCTGATAACGGTGGGTTTGGAGTTTTTAGTCATTAAACATCACGGCACTAGCAATAATGCTCACTATCAGTAATATTCAAAACGATATCAGTGATAAAGAAATCAAGGTTCGAGAATGGAGTCACTTGTGATGTGTCATCTCTCTTGTTGTATTTCAAATTCTCAGCCACATAAACACGAATCGCAATATAAGCGAAATAGGTAGACGCAATACTCCTATTCATTTATTACTGAAGGTGTTCACGAAAGTACACTTTTAATTCAAGTAGCTTTCCAGTAAATTGGAATTTGATCGGTAGTAAAGAGAGTAAACAATATTCTACTTTTATGAGGTATTTATTACTTGTCAATCTCGAGCTAACTATTAGATCTACCAGTTCGTTCGTCATATCAAGCATTAACCCTATCTTCTCCATAAAATCAAGTACTAAACAGGATATCGAATTAAAGTAACCGTGCTTAGAATTCACAATTCATATCCGGTAGAAAGAAAGTCGTTTAATTATTAGCTGATCAGTTTATCGACCAATCAATAATTAGTTTTTATTTGCTGCAAATTACCCAGTTGATAGTGGCGCCATCTTGACGTCTGGTCTGACTTTAAATAGGTCTAAAGTGAAAGGGAAAACTTGTTTAATCTTGTGCCTCCTATTTATCTTTCCCATAAAATGTACAAAGGTAAATTTGATTAACTTGTATTCAATGCCGTGAAGAGAAAATCATTAAAATTTATCAAAGTTTGTCCACTCCACCCCCATAAATGTCCATATTTCATTTCGTTTCATAGTTAACTCTGCAACGATAACAACTTTTATATCAATTTTAATATTTTAATGATCAAGGCTCTACTTTCTAGAAAATTGGAAATTATTTGATCCCAGCAAAATAAAAGAGAAATTGCACGTGTATTTGATTAAAGGGATAATCAAGTTAAAATTGATTCTATTCAAAATAGAAATGAATTTTCACACGTTTTTTGCCATGCGCCGATTAATTTGATATCTCACGAGATCTTAAAGACAGTCTCTCATGCTAAATACGACACGTGGCGGCAACATGCTCTAATAAGCATATATATTAAAAATACATTGTTGCAAATCTTTTCCTGTCGAAATAATTTTAAGTGATTCATATCCATCCATGTTTTAATTTAAAATTCAGAAAGATTTTTCTGACGCCCCTTTGATATAAACTTGATAAATATCGTAGTCTGTGAAGAAAAGGGGGCTGTTAGTCTGTGAAAAATATAATAAGATGTCATAGTATCTGGAAATGTAATATGGTGTACATTTCAGATACCCACTGCATACAAAACGCCCTGGATTACCAACCTTGAAATCAAATCTGAGATCAAAGCTTAATATAAACCCCTACTCAATCCTTCATCAAACCCCGCAGATTATTCACATGTCAGTCCTCTCAAACTCGGAAAACAGCTCTATAAAAAAGATATCCGGAAAACTTTACAGGAAGACCATTACCCAGCACGCGTAAAACACATGCCAGTTAATGAAGAGGTCTTGAAGGCTTTATATTTGCTTGGGGTTTTAACATCGTTTGGTAAACTGATCTCAGATAGCCGAGGTGGTTTTAAAGACTGCCCCTTCAGAGACCTTATAATATTTACAAGTGAAAGAAAATGCCAATAATGATGACGAAACGACTCGTCAATACGACGATTTATTCTTAAAACAACTATGTGCCAGTTTTCACTTAATGAAATTGGGGATGACAGTATAATGGGATCTCGCATCGCCCTAAACAATGTTTAAAGTTA